AAACACACACACACACACACACACACACACACACACACGCACACACACTCTCACACACACACCACAAATGAAAGCTGTCCTGTTTCTTCTGCCCAGCCTTTGCCAGCTTCATTTGCAAATGAAAAGTTTTTGCAACGAGCGTCCTTTTGCTTCTGGGGCATGGCAGCACACTGTGTGTATGGGGGGTGGGGATGGGGGTGAGAGGAGGGTTTGACAGAGGGTGTGTGTGTGTGTGTGTGTGTGTGTGTGTGTGTGTGTGTGTGTGTGTGTGTGTGTGCGCGTTGTGCGTGTGGCATGAGCCCAGATGAAGCAGCCCTCGCCTGGGGCTCGCTGTCCGCCCGCGGTAGCAGCAAGCCTGTTCCTTCTTCCCCGGCCCGCCGCGACCATTTGTTCCATTAACCAATCTCCTGGAGCCTCTGGTGCAAACACACACACACATCCACAGGCATACATACTTCAACAACTGCTTGCACAGCTCATACCACACATGGCCCTCCATCCTTCGCTCCATCCCTCCCTCCTTCCTCCAGACGCACGCACCATCTTTCTTGGTGGAGGCCATATGGCCCAGTGAAGCCTGTGGATCTACAGGCACATCTGCGTATATGTTGCTGCTCGCCTTAAAGGGTTGCAGAGTGAGCTGGGAGCTCATATGAACACTCACACATACACACAGTACACGCACACACACACACACACACAAACCTTGGGCTGACAAACACACTCTGCTGTCAATGTGTGTGGTTAAGCAAATGTTGGTGTTATATCGGTCTGTCGATAGTGTGTGCGTGCATGTGTGTGTGTGTGTGTGTGTGTGTGTGACCTCAGTTCGTACATGCATAGTGATAATTGGTAAAACAGCCTGCGAGCAGCTGTGAGGTGAAAAAAGGTTGCTTGGTGTTTAGTACAGAATGCAGAGGGGAGAAGGAGGACAGGAGAAAGAGGAGGAAAGTTAAGAATAAAAGAAGAAAGACAAAATGGAAAGTGGAATACAGAGGAAAAGAGATGAAGAGAGGGAGAAGGAAAAGAGAGAGATGAGCAAAAGAGGAAACAGTTACATTTCAGAGACAGGAAAATGTAATCAAGAGTGAAAACTTTTCTCTCTATTTCTCCCAGAATATATTGTGGAAAAGAAAATCATTTCTTAATACCAGGGTTAATTATCTTCAAGTCTTGTTTCCTGTTATACAGAGATTTACTATTATTATATAAAAAAAGATGCTTTAAATGTTCTTTTTTTTTAAGCTGAGGCCTGAGGATAAATGTTGTTATTTTTCATTAAAGGTGTAACTTTGTTATCACAGACACTTCATCACAAAGATCCGGTTTTTAAAACTTATGACTGAAGATTTTGTTCACATCGACTCAACAATGTGAACGAGCAGAAAATACTTAACAAGACCTTTACAACACTTCAAACATTAATTACAACAATAAACGTTGATGTGTTTCTTTCTTAAATGCCCACCACTCAGCTTTTTCCTTTTGTCTGAATTTGGTGAAGATGTCTACTCAAACAGATCCCATGACAACAGCCTTTTTTTAATTTGATTTTTTGAATATTTCAGATTATTTTTGTACTGGCATTCTGACATCTCTGTATTCTGCTTCGGATGAATCGTGAATAAAACTCATCCATCAATTAAATCTGTCTTTCAGCTTCTGTATATTAATTGCTTTTATAACATAACACAACCTGCCCTCACCAGGAAACAAACTCTGTTCACCTTAACTAAAGGTAAAAGAGAATTCCTATTTTTGATGATTCAAAAGATGTGTCATAACTGAATCAAATATAACATACTAATTCTTAAAAAGAAAGTAGTAGATCTCTTAAGTTAAAATAAAATGAGTGAGCAGTGTCTGTTGTCTTCATTACGTTAAATAGATGCTAAACTAAAAGATTATTACTTTAATCATTACATATTGAATACGATTGTTTTAAACTGCTTTAAATGAATCATTTACATAAAGTGGAGCTCTTCCCTTACTATGTGCTTTCCCGCTCCATCTCCCCACCTTCTGTTCTTTTCCTTCATTTTCAGGCAAAAAAAAGGAAAAACAACAACACAGACATAGTGAAATAAATAATTAAGTGTTGAAGCAAAACATTGTGTGCTAAAACCCCTGTGTAGTTTGGCAATCAGCTTGCCCATGTAAAAATAAATCAAGCTGATTTTCCAAATGTTTTGTGCGTGGTGCGCTGTTGCCACTCTTCGCAGCACAGATTGCAGGCCGATGGAGAGGCTGTGGGGAGGGGCGGGGCGCTGGATATTGAACCCACTTGCACCAGCTTGTTAACACGTACACCTTAACCCCCAAGTGGTATAGCAGGGCGCACACCGAGTGCTCAGGGCCTGCAGGGACCAACTAACATATACCCTATGTATGAAAACAGACACACAAACACACACGATGAGGATTACAAGAACATGCGTGCAATGCGATTTGAGAAGAGTACCATATGTAGAGAGACTGACGTAGCCGCTTCTACACCAATATGCACACATTAGAAACATTACTGCACACGCACACACACAAATAGAGATCTACAAAGTTCAGTCCTGCCTCTAGAGCTGAATTCAGACAGCACATACTGCCATACATGGCTGTAAAACAGCTTGGCTAAATGTCCTAAATGCTGTGGATCTATTTTTTTTATTTCTGAAAGCTAAAACTACTCTGATAAGAAAATATATGTGGCAGATTTCAAGTTTTTTACTTTTGCCCCTGGAGTACGATCAGTACCAGATATACATACTAAAACCAAGCACCAGCTGCAATGTGGATTACCGTAAACATGAGTCATTCCTCTCTCGCCTCCTCGTCTCTCCCTCATCTCTGCACTCGGCCTCTTTACAACAAATCACCTCAAATATGACACTTACAATCCAAGAATACATTCACTTAATGCTCAGAACTCATAGATGCATTCCTGAGCAAACTCGCTTTCTATCAAAATCATCTCCAAAAATATTTAACACAAACATGTGGTCAAGCGGCAGCGGTCAACAGTCATTCAAAAGTGACCTCATGTAGAACTGAACTCAGGAGATTTTTAAATATCAGGAGGATTCATCAACCAAGTAAGTGTCAAAGCAGAAAATAAAACTCACTAAATGCCAAGAGTGATTATCGTGGTTCAGTTGGGAAAAGAGAGAAGTTAGATGCCAACTTCCCAGCCAATCCACTTTTGGCAGCCAGATTCCTACTCTGCTAAACCTCCTGAGAACATGCAATAGCAGCCCATACACACACGCAAAAACACACACACACACACACACATACACATACACATAGACACACAAATACCGCTATAACATATGTGCACAAACATACAGAATATTCATATGATTCACACTCCGTGACAACCTAGATTATTTTTCTTTCTCTGAAACACACAAAGAGCAAAGAGAGTCACACACAAGCAGGGGACAGCTGTGACTTGGTAAACTTTGTTTTTTTTTTGGCAGCGTCTGACTGCCAACAGGTTAACACCGGTGGGTGGTAGACAATATGTAGTGTCAATGATGGAGCAGGAGAAAGAGGTTGAGCAAGTAACTGTGTGTGTGTGTTTGGTTTTGCGGAAGAAGGAGGTTGAGTTTGGAGGGGAGGTGGGAGGGCAGCGGGGTAGGGATCCTGCAGAGTGGGGCAACAACGCCCACACATCCTCGCCCACGTAGGGAAAGCCAGGCTGTATGCCAGGCGTCCTGTGGAGACGCACACACCAACTGGGCTCCACACTTAGGGACAAAGAGACCCCGACATCTCTCACACACACACACACACACACACACACGGGGCTCAAGACTAAGATGGACCCACTTTTTACTGCAGCTTTTATAACTCAATCAATGCATTAAGCCCACTCTTCTTTGACATTATGTTTCAAACCATGATATTATCATCCTTTAGATTGAGTCGTGTTGAAAAGTATAAATATTCTAAGTTCAACCAATCCTTTTTAACAACAAGTATGTTCAATTTCAGTCAAATTAGAGATGTTCATGATGGCATGGATCATTTTGAATATTCAAAACATTCAAAACAGGCTCATTCGAAAGTGTTTAGCAAAGGTTGTGACACACAGCCTGTTAATAATCTGCTGCGTGAGTTGTAAACAAATTAACTATCCAGCAGTTTTCAAATGTTCAAATGACTCAGACTGCACGGAGTATGATCTCTTGATCGGCTAATTAATTGGCTTGTTGTTTCAGTTCTATACCAAAAAAGCCCTACTCTACAAAAGAAGAAAAAAATGTGAGACCAAGTTGGATGTGTACTGTGGATGTAGCTAGAAAGACTTTGTACAGCTTGTTGATTATTATATTGAATATATGTGATCCTTCTCAACAGTTAGTGATGGAGCTGGTGGATACTGAACATTTATATAAATTGAACCTTTAATTTTAAACGATTTAAACCTTTTCATGTGCTTTAAAATGTGCAGGTTGTACTTGCAAAGCTAGAAAATGTTCACGAAGTGACCACCCAGTGTCAATCATTCTCAATAAATGATGACAATGTATGACAAGTTAATCCTTGTGTTGTTTTAAATGCATAAAGGAGAGATGTTCTGTTATTTAATGTGAGAACAATTGAATGTAAAGTGTGATTTCGTAGAAAATGTTGCTGATGCACAGAGAGAGAAGGGTCACCTGCTAGGGGGTTTAAACGATTGTGAATTAAACGGTTTTATTTGTACAACCTGCAGCCAGATGCAAACTATTAAGCAGTTTGGAAATTCTAATCTTGAAGGAAAATCTTTAAACACATGACAATTTTTTTTTCTTTTTTTAAGTCCAAAAGGTTTTGGGGGAAAGACAGAAAAATACTGAAACCATTACCTTCTTGACTAAATTAAAATTGAAACTTGTTTAAATCTTATGTAATGTTTGCCGTAGTGCAGCTCGTACATTTCCTCACAAAGGAACAAATTGTCTGTTTTTTTAAAGGGTGATTTGTAACATGTATACAGAGGATGTGCAGTTTTTTCTTACCTGTCCTTCATGCGCTGGTGCATGCGGCCGTGTTGGACACACTGTTCCTCCATGTCTGAGCAGCGAGCTCTCAGACTCTTCACTGTCTCCTCGAGGTGCTGTTTCTCCAGGGCAAGCTGCTCCATCTTACCTCTGCACATACACACATCAGCATTGTTTCAACAGATTTAACACATTCCATATACTGTAAGTGTACCACAGCCATGCAAGTAGATGTAAAAAAAAGTAATTATACTAAATACATTCAAACGTATAACATCTTCATAGAATATAATTCACAATATGGGAGGAAATAACAGAACAAACAATCACGTTGTGAGGAAAAAGATGTTTTCAAAATGCACTCCTTAGAATTTCTAGAGAATTTCAGGAGCATTGTTTCTGAAATTCTCCTGATCTGGTCGTTCACACATGCACCCCACAGCAGAAAACTATCCATGTTGGACAGCGACGCAGAAATGGCAGACGACAAGAGTCCAGAGAGTCCGCTATACGGCGCTATAATGAGAATACTTGATAAATATATCAGTGCTTTGTGTAGCTCGACAGAATCACAATATTCACAAAAAAAGTGGCGAACAAACAAGCGGACAGAAAACGTAATGCAGCAGTTTTCTTTATGTGCACAGAGATCGCAATGGGCAAGTTCAAACAGTCTGTGGTCGTCGTTCACCAATCACAGGGAATAACAGTCATCAACTGCTCCCACTCGCTAGAGGAGAATTCTCTGGATAATATCATGCTGTGTTCTCACATCAGCTCACTGTGACGTTTTGTATAAAAAATACACCAGGTGGCCGACAGGAGAAACTCAGGAACAGGAGATAAAGCCTGAGTGAGAAACTGTTTGTGATCACACAATCATTACAAAAACTTCAGGAGTTATTCACGAGTGTGATCAAGGATAAATACAAAACAATTAAATGGTAAGAAACTAACACATTCTATATTTAGACTTTTGGATGCCATTTTTGCTGTTTGTCGTAAATTGTACTGTAGCTAGTTAGCAATTCAAGCAAAGGTAGAAAATAGAAATCCAAACAATAAAAGCCTTCAGTTTTCCATGGTCAGAAACTGCAGCTCACCCTTTATACTTCCCCAGGATAGAGAGTGATAAGATGAATTCTGTCATCAATCCCTTTGACCACAGACAGCGCTAATTTACTTTATTTCCACTTTATGATAAACAACATTACACTGTTACTCGTAGAGCGCCACATAAAATGTACAGTCAGACTAAAAGCTGAAAAACACTTGAGCACACTTTTCTCATTTATCTTGCTGAAACTATGTGTGTAACCTCACTTAGCCTGACTGAGGCCGTCCAGCAGGATTTTAACCGCTACACTGGGTTAGACTCCAGGAGCTCAAACAGCCTGAGGTACAAAACACACCAACGCCACACTGCTGCTAAACTACATTACACACCCAGGCGGCAGAGGCAGGGGACGAGCATTCATGCCAGTATGTTAGAATGTACATGAAATGCTACCTTTTAAAAAGCTTTTGAAGGTGGGACTGTATCTATAACTGCACACGTAAATGTATATCTGATATTGATTTCCATCCATAACAAAAAGGGTACTTTGTTGTGTGTATATTGTGTGGCTGCTGAGGCCGGCGAGGTCTGGCAGGGCCAGATTGGGGGCTGTCATGTGACTAATGTGCAGCACAGCTACAACAGCTGACAGGACACTGGGCCCAGGGTCACTCTCACACACATACGACACACACACTCAAATATACAAACACACAAATACACACAGAAATACAGGCAGCCCAGATGGAGAGCTGTGCAGGCCTGCTGTGACTACTGTAGCATCAGGTTAACAAGAAAACAGGTCAGACTGAAAGGCAGTGTGTAGTGTGTTGACATGCTCTGTCCAAACAGCCTGAGAGATGAGGCTTCATAACATGATGACACGGACGTCCCACAACGCGAATAAACAAGTGAGTAATTCAAAAAATAACTAGAACAAGAGGTATTAGGTCAATTCAAACGCAGAAAAAAGTAGAGTGAAATAATAAGCAAACAAAAAAGAGAGTTGATGAAAGAATGAAAGAGAAAATACAGACCTATTGTTTTCTGTCACTTCTTCCAATCCGACTCCAAGCGAGCAACACTCCTCCTTCAGTTTCCTGATCAAGGAATTCTGGGAACTCAGCAGACCATCCAACTCTCCAACTGCAATCAACAACAACAACCGGGCGGTGATTTTGTGCACTTTAAGTTTCTGTCATGTATCCTGGATACACATAAGACCCAGGCCCAGGAACCAACACTGAAGATCAACTAGCAGCAAAGTTAAAAAGCCAGTCCTGAGCACTGCAGAGAGCCAGGGACTAAACCCCTAACTTCTCCAGGGCAGTCGTCTGTGTGTAGTCCCCTCACTCTCCTTCTCTGGAGAGACACCGGACATCTGAATGCATGTCCATAGGATCCTCAGGGATAAATAAAGTATAACTTCTTCTTCTTCTGCCTTTAGAATCTCTGTTTGTTTGTTTTTACAGTAAATGTGCCCTCTAGCTCTTCTTCTATCTTTAGTTAACACTCACTCCTTAAAAAAACTGAGCCAAACCCAAAGTATACAAACTTTTTTGAAACAACTTAATATTAAATTATTCAGCTAACTTTGTTCAAACTTGATCTAAAACTGAGCTGGCTGCTGTTTATTTGACCTTTTTCTTTACATCTGGAAATTAGCTTCTGTTCCAATTGACACAGACAGCTCAGTGTAAAAAGCAACATTGAAAAGGTTTTGAGGTAGTGTGAAAAATGATAATTATATTAAAGGTCATGACACTGCGTCCTCAACCGTCAGCCAAAAGAAAAAGGACACTTCAACAACACTTAACCTTCATTAAGCTACAGGGCCTTACGCGTGGAAAGAAATCAAACCATTACATGCTGCATGAGAATAATAAAATCTGACCATTTGAAGTCTGACCAAAGAAACAACCATTAAAAAATATAAAAATAAAAACATATTATATTGTTATCTTTGTGTTTGATGAATGTCAGTGCAGAAAACAAAGTATGACACCAGCTGAGTTTGCAGTTTCAGGTTAAGAATGTCAGTCACGTGTCCAGTGTAAGATTAAAACAGATACATTGTCAGTTTCATGCTACGATGGTCCAACACACTAACTGAAATACTTTATTAATGGTGAGTAATATTGCTTTCTAAGCATCATGGCTACATCTATGAACTCAGAAGAGTACATTTCCAAGAGCAAAGCAACCAGAATCTTCCCATACCAGAGGAAAACATCTTTGTAAATGTGAAATCTGAACAACAAAATGTATTGTAATTAATACTGTTCAGAAAATTTGAGACACATGTCTTTATGAATGTCTTCCCAAAAATGCTTTTGTCGACAGACATTCACATGAAAATCAAAAGTGTTCAAACAGCAGGCGGAAATGTACAGAGGAAAAAAAAACAGAAGTACAGAGAGACAATAGAAATATGAAAAGTGTGCGGAGGGTAAAACGAGATGGAGGAAAAAGAGGGGGATTGTTGTTTGAAAAGAGCTTTCTTTCTCCTTTTCCACCCTTCCTGCCACGTCCTCATCCGCTCATGGGGGGCTCTTTCTGAACAATCCAACACTGGGCTTTCATCATTCCTTTGAAATGATCCACGTTCCACTCTCCAACATATGTCTGCTCTTTTAAAATAACAATGGCTGCCGTTTTGGATGGAGGGAATGATCCACCTGCTCCGGCATTCTGTTACAGTCAACTGAAACCAAAAAAACAACAAGGACTCGCAGTCTTTGAAAAGTAGCTCAGACTTGTCAAGAGTTGTTTTTTTATGCATACAGTAGGTATAGGTGGAGATTTTTAAAAGTGGAGGAAGAAAACTGATCGAGGACATTAAAACATTTTCACTAGCAGAAATTAGAAATTAACAATTTGGGGATTTTTGTTTAACAGTAACATGAATAAAATGTGTAAAGTACATGACTTGGGGAAGTATCTTGAAGGGTGTTATGATTCACTTGTTACTGTCTCTAAAGTAAGACACCACTAACCTTTGTCTTCCAGTCTCTGTCTCCAGATTACTGCCATATGTAATGCATGGAGGGCAGAAACTGGGTGCTACAGAGTGTGAAAGTAAACAACACAAAACTCACAGACGTTCACACATGCGTACACTCAACAAAGTTTGGTCAGTGCTGGAAAAGTTGCATGAAGAATGCTAATTAGCTGAACAGGCTTTGAATGCGTCTGGCCGTGCGTAGGCCAAAAAGAACCCTGGGACACAGAAACACAGCAGAACTGGCACTGGAAACAAACAGAAAAAAAACGAGGGAGGGGAGGGATGGAGAGAAGAAGCATGGCGGGGAGGGAGGGATGGAGAGAAGCAAATATCTGATATCATCTAGAGGCTGCTCTGTACGCGTTTACTCAAAAAAGAAACATGAAAAAAAAAAAAGGTGGGAGGGAGCTGAGAAGAAGGGAGAGGGGGGGACGGATGGATGGAAGGACAAACGGATGGACAGAGAGGCGGGATTTGGAGAGCAAGAAAGCTAATTATCCAGCTCGTCTGTTGGGTTGCACGGGGAGAGGAAGTGATGCGAGCTACTAAAGGACGTCCACCCCTCCATCCCCTCCCCATCCACAGTTTCCTGCTGTGCTCTGATGTCAGCTCTCTTTAGACAACATGTGTGCTTCCGACACACGCCAGAAACAAACCCTTTGTTTACCCCCCCTTCACACCCCTCCCTCCATCCATTCCTCCCTCTATACCCTCCATCTTTGTTCTACGTACCAGCAGGCTCCCTGGTTGTTGAAGGGAACCACAGGTAAATAAAAAGATAGGAGAAGGGAGGGTGGTTGAGTGTGGGTGAGGAGGGTGTGTGAGGGGGGGATCCAGATGGTGCAACAGATGTGCTAGCAGCAGCAGCTCTGCTGTGCAGACAGACAGGGAGCTCTGAGCGGGGTCCCTCGCTCTGCTCCCATCACCTCCCCTCTGCTCTGCCCTGTTATTCTCCCGTCTCCTCTTCATGCTCTTTTTGCTCTGTTCTGCACTTTGGAGGTCACTGCGGTTCAATCTTCTTCGGCTAAAATGATTTCTGTTCCTGCCCATCACCTCTAACTCAGGATAGAAAGGTGGCAAAACGGAAAGGAAAATTATGCTTTTAACTGGACGATGCCGGTTCATGACCTGGTTCGAGCAGAAATCCACCCCGATGAAGTAACATAAAGACACTCTTCGTTTATATTTAAGCCTGTTCAGTTATGATTGTTTCGTTATATTATCTGTTTGGTCTCCATGTAATTGGGTGGCCACCACACCAGGAGTGGATCATCTCTTTTAGGATACATTTTGAATTGATTATCAAATGACATTAATGTATTTTTAAATCAGAGCGAACATGAAGATAAGACAGGGAGAGGAGCAACTCTGACAAAGAGTTTATGTTTTCCAATTGTTCATAAATTACCTACAAATATTAATTTGTCTTGTAAAATAAAGGAAACTGACAAAGCAACTCTAAATGACATGTGGATAATGACTGACAGGTTTAAAGGTGAACCGTGTCTTAACTTTTCCAGTGATTATTTGGAAAGTGAAAAGATGTGAGCAAATTGAGGTACAACTGAAGCATCTCCATCGAGTGGACATCAGGGGTGATGTTCCACAACACTGGACTCTTAATGAAACGTTCCTCTTTTTGGAGGGGGAAAGGAAGGCTTTCAAAAAAACTGATATCATCCATAAACATCACAGAAGATCCTTGACTCTCTTTAAAAGTCAGGGAGGTGGAAAGAAGTCAGTAGGCCTTTATAAATGTGGACAGAAATTGTTGGCACAGTCTACAGCTGTAGCCAGCCTGGTGGCACCTCCGTGGGTGGAGAACTGACCTCTCAGCTGGTGTTCAGCCTCCGTTTTCTCCAGCAGCACATTTAGCTCTCTCTCCTTTTCCCGCGCCGCCAGAGTTACAGACGCCATTTCCTCCCCATGAGCCCGTTCTGCGCTCTCTCTGTCCTGTCTGTGGAGAAGCAACGGTTTGTAAGACAAACATTTAAAACACAACCATCCATGTTTATAAGTATTAAAAAAAATGTAACTAGGAAAAAGTGTAACCATTGCAATTTGATAGCATGCTGCTTTTTTATATGCACAAGTACGGACAGTATGTGTACAATCAGTAATCCTCTAGAGCAGTAGTTCCATCAGGGGGGATCGGGGCCCACCGGGGGTTCAGGAGACACCGAGAGGTGGGGCTCGAGATTCCTCCCAAAACACTAATAACATTTTAGATTGATTCAAAATAGCATATTTTATCCATTATTTTTGTTAAATGTATACAAAGTAGTTCAATTCAAAATAAAACTAGAGTCCTCGAGTGAGATTTATACATGTCTTACAATGCTATTTTTGGAGATGCAGGCCGAAAATGTGGGAACCCCTGATCTAGAATATAAATGTCAGCTGGTGCTTCAGATGACTGATAGCTAATCTTCTGTTGACGGGGAAGCATGAAAAAAAACATTTCAGAGTTAAGTCCCATGGGAAACAACTGCAGTCTAAAAACAAATCATTTTATGTCATCTTTATTGGCAGTTTAGGCTTAACTCATACAAACTTGTATAAAAATAATGGGATCATGTGGATTAACTGTTTGTAATTGTATGTAAATTGAAGCATTTGATATTGTCAGGGTTTCTATTAGAGGTGAAATATGTGATGTAAATAATTAAACAGGTAATCACAAAAATAAACACATCACAAACAGTAAATCTAAGAGATGCTTTGAAAACCTGCTCATGCACACTGGCACAGAGTGAGATGTTCAAGATTGTGCGCATGTCCATTTCCATACTAGTATGAAAGCCATCAGTGCTTTAACGGTTTACAGTAAAATCTCCGGTGAGATCAGCGTACGATAGATCAGTGTGCTGCTAATACTTCCCACCAGAACACGGTTCCAGAAAAGAAATTAGACAGCTTCGATGCATGTGACGGAAGTGAACACAGAGGTGAGAGAGAACTCAGAAGGAGAGTGCACACTTAACAATAACAGAATTAAAGAAAGCACAATGACAAGAAAGGCTCGGGGGAGGCGTGTGGGGGGGGGTTAAGTGTTGGGCCAGTGTAAGCTTCAAGACCCCTGAGTGATACTGCAGCTGTCTATGAAACACACACAAGCACTAATGCACCAATAGTTAATGGCACAGCAGTTTCTAAAATCTTAACGCTTCACACTTCAGCTGTATGGACTAAACTGAAGAATTGGTTTCTGAGACTTAAATAAAAGACAAAGATCAATCTTCTCTGTGACATTGTTCAACTGAAGCCTCTTGTTGTCCTGTGTGTTTCCTGTATAGTTTATATCTAAATAAAATAAACTAAAGCTGGAACACATGACACTACAGCAAGGCTAAATCAGTTGATCGTATCTTTAACATGAGAAATGTACATAAACAGGGTCTACATATTGATGACTGCATGACACAAATTCTTAGCTCGACAACAATGCCGACTTGTAATTGGATCACTTTTTTCTGCACTTTAATTCGTCTTAAAACAGAAACTGTGCAGGTATGATGCAAACGTAGGTGCTTCTCCCTGTGGTCTTTAAAAAACATGCATTCAACTCCTGTTCGAGCCAAACTTTTCTAACTCAGCTAAGTCCAAATGTACCCAAACAACAGAGGAAGAGACAAAGAAGGAAAGAAAAGAAAAAACTACAAAGACAGGAAAAAGCGAACAAATAAACAGAACTCTTCCTGAAGTCCAAAGGCGCTAATGAAGAGAGAATTCTCCAGTTTAAGTGAAAACTTTTCTCCCCTACAGCGCTTGGCCTGCATCTCTAAAGTGACCGCGTCTGTCTGTTCCTTCGTGTGTGTGTGTGTTCTCCTGCTGTCCTGCTGTCTGGGGTGTGAAAGCGGGTGGCGGGTGTGCAGGGGACACAAGGAGACTGTGTGTGTCTGTACGCATATGAGTGTGTGCGTGTGTGTGTGTGAGTGAATGAACCCCCGCTGGGCTTGAACAGCAGCCTGAGCCACCAAAGCGCACACCAGGGCTCAGCGGGAGATGGCGGGCAGGCGTTGCCAGCCATTTGGTCCTGCAAGAGGTTCCAGGGGGCCGTGTGTATTTGTGTATGTCTATGTGTGTGTGTGTGTGTGTGTGCGATGGAGGGGGGGGACTCACACCAGACCTGTTTACCCACCAATTAGCATCAGACAGATCGCCAGAAAGTTCCAGCAGTCAGCAATAGAGAGGTGGTGAGGAAGAGGAGAGTGAAGAAAACAGGAGAGGACAGAAAAGCAAAAAGCACAGAGAGCTACACATTTGGCATCTGTGAGGTCTCGCTGCTCTACTTAACCAACAATATACAAGAACAACCTAATAAAGTTAAAAACAACAGACTAGGCTCTGGACCTTCCAGTGTTAACCAGTTTCAACTCAATGACCGAGGCCTGACAGTTCAAATCCTAAGGAGAAGATCCTGAATGCTTCATCAATGATCAAACTGAAGCTACATGTCAGGCTAAGTTGTGTCCCTCTTTCCTTGCACCATTTTGTATCATCAATCCAATGTAACTTGTTTACTTTCAAAATGCTGTCACAAAATGGCTGCTGATGAGCGCTGTCAAATTTCAATATAAAAAAAGAGAAAAGAGAGATGTCAGTGGAGAGCCAAGCCCTGGAGCAAGCGGTAAGGACAACGGGCAGAGCAGAGGCTGAATATGTGGGTCTGGAGCTGGATAATTCTCCCCGGACAATAATCTGCCTTCCAGCTAATTGGGGAATGGACTCTGGGTTGCTGCCTGTGGCAGGAACTCTTGTTTGGGCCTAGGAGGCAATTGACTGAATGTCCAGTTAGCGGATAGCTGGGCCTGTTTGTATATGCCTGGCCTGATGCAGTGTAGGACAGCTTGGTAAGTATGGCGAGAGCGGCATGGGCCAGCGGCCTAAGGTAGGCTGGAATGGCTCTGGGGCTGCGGCCAGGTACAGTGGCTGCTGGGTAAGTGGGAGGTGGCAGAGGCGGTGGCTGGCTGGCTAGCTGGCTGGAGCGGCAAGGAAGAAGAGGGGGCCCAGTCGGCACTGCCTGCCTAAGTGGGCACTATTCAAGCTGTTGCCCATTAGATGTGGGGTGCCAGGGCCTGACCAAGCACGGAGTTTGCAGCACCCCATGGTGCACCCGCCATCCCACGCCAGAACCACCAAATGCCGCGGTTTATCAGAGAACGAGCACAAATTGGAGTCAGACGGTGGACTTGGAGGAATTGGAGACATTCGCCAACGCCAGACACTACTGACCACTGTTTGGACTAAACTAAAGGAGACCATACTCTCTCCCAATAAACACAGTATCACCAAAGATACACATGCTCACAAACTTAAGTCTTGATTATATGAACACACACACAGGCCTGCACGCACGCACACACACACAACACAGAAAATATATAGGACTTTATATTTCTTCATTTCAAACGACTAGCAAACATTAACATGACTGACACTCTCCTCAACTTGTGTGACTATGAAAGCATTCAGTTTTTTTAAAAGGGTTAAATCTTTTTATATGAATTTGGTACCAAAAACTATATGAAAAAACTTGAGACAACATTCTCAAACCAATGCATATTCATAATCATTCTCAACGTTTCTGTGTTACAAAATAACAGGTGTGAAAGCAATAAACAGGTGAACAGATTGTAAACGCAGCCTATAGCACAAACACACAAACACACAAGCTTTGTTCAACTGATGGTTTCGAGACATTGATGATCCCTGCAAAGAGTTGCGGAGGAGACAAATATTACTATTTCTATCACAGCGCACCATCTGCACCTATTGTTCTACCCGAGGATTTTCTCTATATAGCTTAATAATAATCAGATAATTCATAGAACGTTGTTTTGAATGTAACATTTATATCGGCACTCAATTGTATATTTCTGTATTGCCTGAGAATGACTGCGAGTAAGCTCAATTTAAGAGTTTTCAAATGTTAAATAATTGTTGTTAGCACAGAATTATATTTTTAAAATAATTTTGAAAAAACTAATTCAAATCACAATTCCTTTGACAGATGCCTCTTAGCTCAAACTATAACATGTTGGGACTTGATGTTAATAGTATATTACTGAGATGAACTGAATCTTTGCTGTATAATTACTACGATATACTTATCTCTGAAAAATGGTGACACTCGTGATGATTCATATTTGTGGAGGATTTCCAGTGGATCCACGGCTATTTATGATAGACTGCATCAATCAGGCTACATTAATATTCAACAGTTTGATTCGCGGAAATATAAAGAAGATTCCTGCTTGTGTGTGTGTGTGTGTGTGTGAGGCTGAAGGGCAGCGAGACTGAGGCCTTGTGTAGGCCCGTCTTACTGCCACTGCCAACTAAAGATGAGTGCACCAAAGAGAAAATAAAGTGACATATTGAATATTTGCTGTTCCACATATTATTGACGCTGCGTACAATAAACATCTGAATTGTTTCAGACATCACACAATTTTCCGTACCACGCACCTCAATGTGTTTTAGCACATTTTTATTGAACCTCGGGGTGATGTAAGTTAATCACTCTGCCCCCACACTTTTCTTCTGACACCCCCTCCCTTCATCTTGCTGCTCCGCTTTACGGAAGAAAAAAAAAAAACACATCAAACACAGAGGCGGCCTGATGCAGCCACACCGCTCTTTAACTCCATTCCCAGCGCATCTTCCTTTCGGTCTGTCCATCCATCCGTCCAGAGCGCTCTCATCTCTGCTCCGATTCTTTTTTTCTGCTGTTTCCATCTCACCCTCCTCCCTCCTTTTTTCCCTCCCACCCTTTTTCCTGTAACTAAACTGGCTGTGTCTCTCTCCATCTGCTGGTTCTTCCTTCAGCGGCCCTGCACCTGTTCACACCTCCTCTCCTGTTGGCCACCTCTTCTCTCTCTCCCCCCCCCTCCCCCTATCTCTCCCTATCTCTCCCTCCCTCCCTCTCTCTGCTCAGTGCAATGCTGCCAGGCCCGT